ACCATGATCACCATCCCACTAAGATCCGTGAGCAAAGCCTGTCACAGCAGTAAGGAATTCAAATCCGGATTTAGAGTACCCACTGTGTGTTTGGAATGCGACACGCAATCACTACTGAGACATCGGTTCACTTTGAAGTAGACCTCGGTCATTTCGATCACAAGGACCACATGTGCAATAAAGGTGTTTCAGTGTTGCTCATCCCTACACGGGCATCCCCAGACCGTTTTCATCCTCCTTTGGAATCATCAGATAGAAATAGCCCGAGCTGGGGTGGAACTCGGGGCCAGTGTTTAAAGATTGATGCCTTGGTCACTATGCCACTACGATACATGAGTAACTCAAAATGGTTTGTTCGCCGAGTTGTGTAACTCGAATGCAAACAGTTCGTCACCCATCAATGTGATAGGTACGATGGATATTGGTGCTAGTAGCTATAGCAGTAGTAATCGTAGCATTAGCCTTGATAACAAAGACTAAGCTTCACACAGACCGCGAATGTTTGTAAAGCGGCTCGAACTATAAATATTTCAATGTATATCATTAAGCAACCTATAAAATTCAAATCAATCCGCAGTAGCAAGCTTGGCCTGGAAAAGCTATTGCTCACTCCAGTTGAACTGAAATTCTCGACTGCAGTTTGGGCATTGACGCAGGTTGACTGGACTTTCCCTTTGAAATGACTTCCTGACCGGTTTCATGCAATTTACAGCATATCGGAACTACAAGGTGCTTTATGTAGTTGAAGTGAATGTGTTCGATGTTATTCCTCATTAGGAAAACAAAAATGTTATGAAGCGGCCATAGTACGCGATTGGGTAAATCAGTATTTACATGCGTGTGTTAAAACCGATTTGAGTTGTTGGGTGTCACAGCTGTGTCAAATAAGTTATGACGGTTAGCCATCGTCTCCCATGGTTCAGTGGCATAAAGTGCTGATTGTTGATGCAAGCTGCTAGCAAATATTGGTTCGGTTCCCTTAAGGGCTCGCGGGCATGCGCACCTCTGACAAATCACAATAAGGAGAAACGAACGCCTGGTGCTTCTCCGGAATGGTGGTTAGACTAGCTAACTTGTGAGCTGCTGGAATGATTGGTAAGAAAGAAACAAAATAGTGCTTTTGCATTTTTAAAACACTTGGCTCCCTTAAACAATTTTAATAGCACTGAAAGAAGAGGAAGGCTGATATATGCAAGAATTTCGTATTATCTCCTCAGTACCATTTCAATAACCGATGCGCATAGATATAGCTAACAGTGGCTGTAACCAGACAAGCTTGAGGTAAAGAACGAAAGATGTAAGTTCACTCATACGTCCAAGATAACTTTAGGCTTACAAATAATTGTTTCTGAACACACAGGGCTGGTTTCGTCCGACTTATAGCGACAGCCTCAGCAAACCGAAAGAAGCGAGGATACACGACAGGTAGCGCATCTTTGGACGCTGAGCCTAACCCTATCCTGTGAGCCGAGATAAATAAATGTTTGTCTACCGAGGAAGTCGGCGGCTATGTGAGCACGAAAGTTGACGGTGGTAGGAAATCTGACCAACTTCACGCTGAACCCATCTCACACATGCTGCTTTATTCGGGAACTCAGAGTTCTATTGCTTCTGCGTACGAAACTGTCGCTGCAGTCCCACAGCAATTGGTATGCACAGTGTGAGTTTTCCCCGTTAGGCTGAGCTCCCTTGCGGAGTGGTGATCATGAACGAAGCTAAATCTGACCAGAAAATGTGCGTCATACTCAACGACGCGAGTAAAATCGAACGGTCCAATAAAGTGGGGATATAACCAATGTCGAAACGCGCGTATATCGTCAAATGGAACCACTTCTTCTCCATTGCTTGACTCGACGATGCTTTACACCACCTGCCTTACTTGATTTGATTTCTGTACATTGAGTGACGATTAGACACAGACAAACATTGTGCTCACCAACCCCCACATAATCGCGGTGGACGGATATAACTTGGTGTTCACGTAGATAATATGGTGAGTCCACAGATGCGCTTTTCACTATTGCACAACTTGCCTTGAACTAACGTTATTCCCACAAAGCCTATCACGGGATTTGTGAAGCCTTGCTTTTTTTATCCCTATTATACCCTTGTTTCATTGTCCACTGTGATAGTTTTTATACTGTGGAGCCGAGTGGTAGCACTATTCCACAGTGGTATGGGTCACCAAAAACACATAATAGTCAAGTGCTACCCAAACCAATCTTTTCAATGGTGAACGCGTCCCAGCATAAACTCGCTCGTTGGTTAGTGAAGTTGTTAGCTCCGCTGAAACAACAGTTCAATCCGTACGGTGTTAAAGACTCATTTCAGCCCACTGGAGACCTGGATAAACTCATCGTGTCCAACAACTTCATGTGTGTCTTGGAAGTAGAATCCTTATTCACCCAAGTTCAGCTACGTCAGCCTTTGGATTACGTATGCGAATTGGCTGAATACTGTGGCTGCTCGTTACCAATTCCGATTGAATTGTTGCGAGTATCTATGATAGTTTGCACAGAGATTATGGACTTTCTTTCCGGAATACACTGTACCGACAAATTGACGGCATAGCAACAGATAGCCCATTAGGTCCTGTTCTCACTGATTTCTTCATGCCGATGATAGAAATATGCTTTGCTACGAGAATAGCCCAAGTTCCCTTCTACAAACAATGTGTACATGATATATTGGTATTCTGTTCGTCGGAGCAGCAACTCACACATTTGGTCTCAACGGTGCGCATGCTAACTCACGGTTACATGCAAAATAGAGCAGAACAATTGTCTGCCAAATCTGGACATCTTCATCAGTCCTAGGGATAATGGATTAATTAAAAGGTCCATTTACCGAAAATCAAGTTGGTCAGGTCAGTTCCTACAGCTTCACACCAGCGTGGTACAAACGGACACTTATGAAGACTCTAGTTAGCCGTGCCAGACAAATTTGTTCGGCCGACAGTCTAGGCGATGAGCTAGTGTTAATCACAGCAAGATATATGGCGAATAGCTACTCTCGAAGATTTATGGAGAAACATAGCCAGTCGCGAAGGGCAAAGGACTTGGTGCACATAGCAGCCAAGAAAAACTGTATATCACTACTCTTCGTCTGTTATTACCTGCGGAGCATTTCTAGTGTCGGATGGCACCACCGAGTTCATAACGAGGATGTGCGTAGGCGAGTGCTAGGAAGTGATACCCAACCTAGTTCCTTAGAACAACGGATAGCACTGCATAAGTTGTACTAGCTTGGACACGTACTACGCATGCCTGGTCACCGCTTACCGAGGAGCGCCTTGTTTTGTTTGCCGGAGGTAGGTTGGCACAAGGCTCGTGGTGTGCGAAATTTGACGCAGCAGCATTAAATAAGTTCACGAAGACCAAACTGGGTGCTGTCAGTCCGTTTCGCTTTCCAGGATGGAGTCCACATAACCCGCCTTGTGCTTGCTCGAGATTTACAGGACATGGCTCGCAGTCGACATCAGTAGCGTGTCTGTCGTCGTCTCATGGTAAGACTGCCTGTTTGAAGTGTGTTTGGTGCTGAGTTATCTGCGGGGTAGTGGCTGATTGGACGCGGCGCAGTTAAAGCCGCAAATAGGCTACCTTGCTGATTTCGCCCTATCTCATATGATATCCGGTGATTTGTCTCCGCACCTGCTAGCAATGTGTAGACGCTTTGGCTCAGGATGTTTGCTTAAGGAATTCAATTTCACATCAGGTGCATTTTCTATTATTATTTTTCATTCCCTGTGTGGTACTTGTTTTACCGCAGCGAAATTACGTTTAAAATAGTTATTACACTGCTGCCGCTGCTGCTGCTGATGATAATGATGATAATAATGATGACGTTGGGGAGAAGCAGGAGGAGGAGGAGGAGGAGCAGCGCAGCAGCATCAGCAGAGAGTAGATTAGCTCCACGTATCCTTTCGCCAAAATGTATGCGATTTGCTTTCACTTTAGCCGTGCAAAACTTCGCTAGAGCAATGCTTTGCATGCCTCATGCCACACAACACGGAAAACATAAACCGGTGGCTTAGGCACCAAATGCAACCTACTGAGGTGGTCGCGTTACCTTCACCTTGGTACTAAAGAGTAGTGGCAATAAGAAATATAGAAGAACTATGTAAAGCCAAACGCAATAGAACCGAAAAAAACGGATACTGTCCGATAGAAGGGATGTCTTATGGACACAATTTTGAATGTAAGAAGCACACCGATAAATACACATTCGTGAATGGGCATGCTGGCCAAAAGCATCTTATCCTCTATACACGAGAACGGATATGCGTACAACCCTTGTTGAATTATTACCTTTATTTCTGGTATTTTCTCCAGCAAACATGCTACGCACAAACAAATGTGCACAGTTCACTAAGCTCTGTTTTGTTGAAAATGTCATAGATAACTTTTGTACTCTGAAAATGTAGAGAACAACAGACAGTATCAGCCCGTTTCCATCACTTTGGTGGTGGCTTATTTTTTCAACGGAAACCTGAAAACAGAGATGCTTCTTGCTGTGTGAACGCGTATGGTTCGTCTTTTCCCACCATCCCTAAAGGCATAATTTGAAACAGGTTTGTATGGTAGGTTAAAGTGCAGTAGTTCCCTAATGATCTGGGTTCGATAAAACAGTACCAAATGCATGGTCGGTGGAGAGTTCAGTAAGTATTTTGCCTCAACAAACGTCTGACACTAATTAACGACTACTTGGGAAAACAGCCAACAAGCATTTCTTCTGGTGACAGTCAGGATGTTGCTAACGTAGCGACAAATACGAAACAAATTGGGTGAGCATTGCACATGGTTGTTGTACTCCTTTGCTAGCCCCAGAAAGGGCTTAAGATGATACAACACTTTCTCACTTATTTGGGAGAAACGGAGTGCTACCTTCTTTTACACATCCCGTATTAAGTTGCTTATGAATTGCTGCATCCATCCATCAGCCGTATCGGAGCAACGTTGATTATTCCTTTATGCAGGTAAGGGGGACGTGTTCGGTCAACCTGTTTGGAAGGAGGTGGATGTCGGTCAGAGTGCTGCCAGTGTTCGGGCGCTCACCTACGGTGACCTTCATTGCATCAAGAGAGAAAGCTTGTTGGGTGTGCTCAAATTTTATTCAGCTTTTGCAAACTCATTCTCCAGATCACTGGTGCTCACCTACAATTTACGTCAAAGAGTAAGTGTACGAACATTTTGCTTTCATCTTGTGCTACTTTGACATGAACTTCATTTTATCCGGGTTCATGCCATCGTGGGATCGACGGAGTGGAACGACAATCGGACGGAAAGAAATGGTACTAATGCCATCAATCAGAGTCACTTGTGCAATGACACTACCGGTGAAGCTGTCTAGGTGAAGGCCAAAACACTGATCCATTCGGACTGGTTGGTTTAACGCAAAGCCGCAAAATTTGCCATGCAACTGTGTAGTTGATAACTCCATACTATTCCTTCAGGATATGATATTTGGACGTTTTAGCCACTGCATTCGTACTTTATTCGGTATTGTACCTGCTGCTCCACGCTAGACTTAAAGTGCTGCATATAGAATACAAAAAACGGTACTAAGAGATTCGGGCGATATCGGTCACCAACCTGGCAAAATGGAACAATGGTATAATGCGTATAAAAAAGTCAAGGCTTGACGAGGCCCGTGGGATGGTTTGTGGCAATAACGTTAGTTCAATGAGGTTACACCAAAGTGAAAAACCTCTGTGGACTCACCATATTAGCCACGTTAACACAAAGGTACATCCCGATTTCGTGGGTTGGTGAGCACAATGTTTGTCTGCGTCTTTTCCTCACTCAACGAACAGAAATCAGATCAAATAATGCAAATGCGCTAAAGCATTGTCTAGTCGTTTTAAAAAAATAGGTATCGTGGGTGCGGCAATGACGAAAGTCGAAAGAGCGTTCCATGGATGACAAACTCGAAGGGAAAAATAATTCCGGCGGCACTCAAGCCGACTGTATTGGGTGGCAGGTTTCAATTTATGACCCCTCAGTTCTGTGTTACAGCTAAGCTTCAGGAGGTGGCCGCAAATGTGATCGTGTTTCCCAAAATCTGGGATGTCAGGATCAGGTCACCTTGTAGATGACGTTATCTTCCGCTGTACACTCCCAGGGCTCTCAGTCATCTATGGTATTGCAGGTGGGACAACCCCTAGACAATTTTTATTGCCTGTGGCTGTGCGGTCTTCAGTTCAACAAAGGCATTTTACCCAGGGTTGTCAACTGTGCCAGCTCCTACCCCATTGAAACAAGTGCATTAAATCTCGTTCAATCAAACTGATTCACTGCATTTAAACGGTCCTTTTCTTGGATACCAAAAACCACGGGTGCAACATTGTCCTAAACGCAGAAACCGGTGAATTGACGGATAACGATAATAATAATAATATCTATATTTCCCGATTGTACGAGAAGCTGTCCCTGGATTGTGAACAGATCATGGGTACAATAATTATCATGCTAATGAATGAGTGAAATATGTAATATGGGGTGTATGATGGCAAAATAATTTGGAATCACATAACTTTTGTTGTTTCCGAGTTCATTGTACCATCTTTAACTATTGATTATATATTCCTTGGTCCATCCTGGAAGAACTCGTGTGGTGATTTACCCGATGGAAACATACTCATTATCGAGTTCTGGTCAAGAAATTTGCTAAGCTGAATGTGGAATGCTCCTGCATTTGTGCATGACCTGTTTGTGGCTGGTAGGCCATTCCACACGACAGCGTATGTGACGAGGAAGAAGTTTGATGGGGTAGCTGTCCTGGTTCTCGGCCCACATAACCTACAAGTCTTATTGCATGCTACCACAAGTCCCAGGCAATACTGTGCTCAGTCGTCGAAGCATAGCCATTCACTAAAATTAAGTCAGATCCCATTCAGATCGAATGGAACAGCGATGAAAGTCGTGTGCATGTGTGGGTTGACTGCCACAGTAATGGAACATACGTGAAAACAGAACGTTGCATTAACAACAAACACCGTATGTTCTCTCTTTGGTTTGAATTCGAGTCGGTTCTTTCTGTCATCTGACTGTTAATTCGGCATTATTCCCCATCTAGGGATGGATCATTGTAAGTAATTGCTCACCAGATGGTCTTCCGTTCTCGAGCTTGAATTTTAACCAATAGATTGGTGTGTCTGCCAGGATTTCTATTGATATGGCAAGGCCCTACTCAACTGCGGTCGCCTCACTAACAAGGCTGCAAAGTAAAATGATGTGAACACTTGAAGCACCCTCATAATAGGTCTGGTGACGAGATCAGATAGTTTAAAGAACAATCCAAAGACACCACCACCATCATATGAAGTCCACTTCCATATGTTGCTATGCAGTTCACGGTGGGATAAAACAGGAACTATTTATATTCTATGAGACAGAATTGGATACCAGTACGACGTTTAGATGAGTTACGCCATCACGTAGGAGGGGACGAAATTGGTAGCCCGTGAACAGCGGAGTCGGACACCGGAAAAGCCAAAAAGTGTCCCAGCAGGAAAATTCTTATCACTTCTGTGACCTTGTCCTAGAAAGCAGTAGGCGTTGCGGTGAGTTTTATGAAATTGTTAACCATTATCACTGGAACCTCGTTCGTCATTCCTCAGGCGTCCGGAAAAACAGGAATGGTAGTGCAAAGCTAAGCGTCTTTTGTGTACAGGAACGTGAGAAGCCAGCAAGCGCTCAACACACAGTCTGCATAATCAGACCGGTTATTCTGTGTTGCCGCACACTTCATGGACTCCACTGTGTTGTGTTATGTTTTTTAACAATATTTGTACATTTCTTGGAGTTCAATGGTTTTTGATGGCTCCATGCTTATTCGTCGGCTGTTGCAAACGTATATATATATATATATATATATATATATATATATATATATATCACCGGGGTGGTGTGAATTGGACGCCGGTGGTTTCTTCACTTTCAAATTTCGGACGCACGTAACTACACAAGCCACTGTCTAGTAGATACTTGTAATTCAGGAGACACTCTTTCAAAGGGTATTACCCCGCCAATTTATCGAAGCACACCCATGGTCATTGCGCGATATCTCCAATACGCGAACCAACGGGCCGCCGTAAACGATCAGATTAACACAAAGTATGTCAGACAAAGGTCTATTAAAACGTGATAATTTAGCTACGGCTAAAACATGTAGCACAAACATGAGAACTAGCTAGGGAAATGTGAACGCTTGTGGAGTTTGTTGATTGACGAGGGTAACCGAGCGCATTCTGTGCCGGAAAGGCACTTGCGCATGTTGAATCAAAAACGCCAACAACACTCGAAGAAGTGAGTAGCTTATTCCCCAGGCACATAAAAAAGCCGTACATTTACACTGTGTTAAGCAACCATCCGCAGCTCAACAGGTGAAATCTCCAGGTTACTATGGCCTCACTATTCAGAGCTATAGCTCCTTTTGCATCTTACTGACGGCACTGGTGCAATGCAGATGAATTTAAGTCACAAATACGGCAGTTGGAGGTATCTTGTTTGGTAATGATGCAAAAGCGATAATTCAATAGACGAAAGCAGGAAAGCAAATAACAAACAACGACAAATTTATACGAAATATTTGAGATTATAAAGTAATGGACTGTCAATTGGAAATATTACTTAGCAAGAAGGATCTAAACACCGTCTGTGTCGCAACATGTGGAGATTATCACCATTTATGTTCCGATCCCGGGTCTCTAGGCATATTTTCGAATAGTTCGTCAACGGAATTTTTACAGGAACTAAAAGCAAAGCTGTGATTTCTCCCACAAGTTTACAAAATCTGCCGAACCATGCAATTCGAAGTCAGTGGGCAGTTTAGGGCGGTGACAGCGGTTCCTACCTATACACAAATCGGCTGATGTCAAAAGTATCCAGGAATGAGTTATTTCATCTCAGGTAAGTAGCTCGAAGGATGGCCAAAGTTTGATGTTTTTAACATGCAGTAACAGGGATTCGGACAAAATTTGCGACACTACCCTCACAGTTTCACACACACACGGTCTCGGTGGACAACTGGATTTATCAACCGTAGTGGTTCGGCAGTTTGAAAGCTAGAGGTGGTCAAACACTCGTCACTTACATCGCACGTTTAGGCATCGTGATGAACGTTAACTCCAGGTCTTGAAGATAAAAAGCGGATGTCTACGTTTGCTGTCATCAGTGTTATTGGGTATGGATTCAGAAATACCCAGAGTAGCTTCATGTAGATCATGTCGCTCAGGCGCTTTGTGTTTGACAAACACGTAGTAGTAGGACCGCTTAGACACAGTTGGCTAGTCCACGCCGCTGAAGTGGCGTTTGAGCACAAGCTCTAAGGTAAATCGCGGGCTTTTGGAGAGGACAAAACTTCTGGGATGAGGAAACAGGTTGCCAATAAAAAAGTGACCCAGTATTGTCATAGTTTATGATGGACATTGCCTCATGGAAGTTGCCCATTTTATTTGTTGAACGGCGTGGAATGTACCGACACTGTTGGATTTATTAGTTTATACATGTGGCGGAGAAACGTTAAGAGTAATCTGGATGAGCATATTTGTCCTTATCGTCTGAGTGGTGATCTGAAGTAGCAGGTGTTGCTCAGTTCACCGCCAACATTAACTACGTGGCTTGATGCTGCTGTTGCCATTAATACCGAGCAAAGAGATTGTGGGAACAGCTATGAATTGGACTGAAGAGTGGGATAATCTTCCGCTTTATAATCAAATGATCACGACCAGTTGGATGGCTGAACAGTCACTTCAAAAGCCTAATCATTTTCACATTTATTATGATTGTATGTGGCGTTTAGCTCATTTCTCCCATCATTCACCAACACCGGGTGTTTCCGTTCCATCCAACAGCTCTGCGTCAGCGATGGCTGAATTTTGTAAAGAAGAACCAAGCAGCTGCCTAACTGAGAGCAATGGATTATGCAGCTGGTTATGATCCGGAAAAACTAGCTCCCTGCATATATTGCAGTTCAGTCTCAGCGACTGATGGCAACACGGCCAGGGTAACGCATCGGGCTGCGGGCCCGTATGACATGAAGAAAGGGACCAGGCTGCAAAGTTCTATACCTCATATAGCTATAGTGATCAGCGGACGACTGAAGAGTATGAACGTCATCTGCAGCAAGACGTAGCAACCGCATAAAAACCTACTGGGTGGCGTATCTCTACT